AGTGGCACAGTGGTTAAGTTTGCATGTTCCGCTTCGGTGGTCTGGGGTTCGCCAGTTCAGATCCCAGGTGCGGACCTATGCACCACTTATCAAGCCATGCTGTGGCAGGCGTTCCACATATAAAATAGAGGAAGATGGGCACCAATGTTAGCTCAGGGCCAATCTTCCTCAGCAAAAAGAGGAGGATTGGCAGCAGATATTAGCTCAGGGCTAAGCCACCCATCCCCTGAACAAGAAAGGTATGGGAGGCAGTGGAGAGATAAAATAGCTATTTTTATGTCTTTGCCTTTTTTTTTTTAATATTAAGCTCTGGGGAATGGTATATAATTATTTTCACTTTATTATATTCCATCATACATCCTGGTACAAGGATGAATAAGAAATCTTATTTGAATGCTTACCTGTTCCTTGTATCTTGATTAAATATTTTAAAATTTGTATATATAAATAGATAAGTCAGAGACTTAACTCCTTTGAATAATTTTTCTTTTAGTGATCATATCTGCAGGTGTTCAGTGTCCCAAGTAAACGTATCAAATAGTCTAAGGACATTATATTTGCATAACTGAAATTCATGCTTTTTGATTTGCACATAAGTACCAGCCTTCAGCAGAATCCTAACCAGACAAATGCCTTGGCAACAAAGAAGAACTGGCTGAAGGTTTTAAGACCCTCTCTTCTTTCTCAGACATTTGCAGAATTTAGTCCTGTAGCAGTTAATTAAAACTACTTAAGAGTATGCCCACAAAAGAATAGCAAAGGCAGATTCCACATCCGTGGAATTTGGAATATATCAGATACCAAAAGAATTAAGAAATAGCACTTTCCACGCTTGTGTATTTAATCCTTTGTTTCCTGAAAGGATGGTGAGATAAGTCAGCTAGGAAATTGTTAATGTTATCACTCAAAACAAAACTCTATAGCACTTTCTTTTAAAGTGATCTCTTTCTCTCTCTCACTTCCTCTCTGTTATAATCATAACAACCAGTTCCTTTCAGAAAGATCAGTTAGTAAAAAGAGTATGATCCATATATCATGTAGCATGATCATCTATAAAGTACACTTTGGACAATGCTCATTTTTTACAGAAATTGGTTTTAAGGCTGTGAAAATGTTCTAAAATTGGAAGTTCAAAGAAAAGACTAAAAATATATAGGTGTATCTGGAAACTCAAATGGAGATGACACATTAGAACACAGTCAGTTCTATTTTTAATCCATTATCACTAGCCGTCACAATTTATCCTCAAACAGAACTATGAGAATTTCTAACTTTGGAAAAAATATTTTAAGGGTTGTTAAGATTATTTATTGAAAGTATAACAACTAAAGAGAGACTCCTTTCTGCCTCTAACCATATATGCTATATGCCTTGAGGTCATTTCATAGAAAAGTCTGTAGGTGGAATTGCCATCAAGGGGCCAGCCCTTCCACTTACCAGCAAAGTAACTTTGGGAAAGTCACTTAACCTCTCTGGGACTGAGAATTTCAATTTGTAGAACACAGATGACAATGCCTACTTTATATGTTGACTCTCAACATCAAATGATATTCTTACTGCATGTGAACACAAATGGTAACGTACCTGTAAGATAAAATACAGCATAGTAATTAAAAGCTAGTGTTTTGGGTTAGGCTGGCCTGGGTTAAAGTCTGACTCAACAATGTACTAGCTACTGTTACTTAATTGCTCAAATCTTCAGTTTCTCATCTACAAAATGGGAATAAATCATACTCAACTCTTAAGAAATTGTGACACATACAAAGTTCTAAGTAAGATTATTACTAATATTATACAAATGATACTTTGCAACATATAGTATACATAGTAACTAATGATAACAATGAAGTGACTATTATTACTACATTAGAACTGCCACTTACTTTAAGTAGAAATGGCAACTTTGAGTTACACAATCTGGGAATAAGGCCCTGTAGAATATTAAGGGTCCCAAGCGCTTGTCATAGGTATGACTTATTAGAAGAAGGAGGTAAAGATAAAAGATTTGTTTTATATAATTTTAAAAATCTGTTACTTTTAAATCATTGGCTTAAATTGCTCAATAATATGTTGATTATAACACAGAGTTGGATCTTGTTTTGTGTTAACAGTAGTACCAAAGCAGTTTTCCTTCATTCTCCCTTTTGACCTATATTAAATAAAGAAATTAATGCATTTCTATCATTTTAAAATATTTTTATTTTCAAAGATAATATATCGTGATCTTTGCTGAGGTTAAAGCAAATATTAAAGCTATCTAAGCCACAGTATCTTACTTTCTTAAAAATTAGAGTGGGACTTTTGCAGAAAATTTTCAGGGATCAAATCGAGATGAAACAAACTGAGCCTAATTTCATCTAATTGAAAAACATTAGTCCCCAATATTTTTAAAAGTTCTGTTTATTTTTTGTGAACTTATGATCGCCTCTCCAGGACTGGTCATCAGTGAGAACAAGAACAAAAAAGGATCAGATCGTTGACTCTCATTCTAGTTATTCATCGCTGTATAGAAAACAAATCCCTTCATGATAATCCCCAATAATCTGGAACTAATAAAAACTGCAATCAGTCCTTAGCTTGTTGAGCACTGATGTCTCTGAACAAAGGCTTCACTAATGTCAAGAGAAGAATAAATATCCCAGGTATTGTCCCATTCCAGAAAACTCCCAGAACTCTCTTGTTTTCAGCCCTCGCTTCTGGAGTTGATGAGATAGCGCTTTGATAGTCCTCAGCCTCTGAGACTGGACGGAATGCTGCGACAGGTTCAGAGGCGGTGAAGTTTCAGGAGGAACGGCACGCCGAGTGGTTTCTACTTTGAGTGTGTGTGTATGAAAGGGATAGCAAAGTCCTTGTTGAAAGAGGAGGGGCCTGAGTTAGGGGACTCAAAAAGAACAATGGGAGTAGGAGTGACAGCTGACCAATCACATGATTATGTTTACCAAGCCGTGGATGAAAACAGGACATGTGTAGTGGCACATACCTTCACAGTTGTTGTATTTTCTCAGTGGTGCTCAGAATTCCAGTAATAGGAGGGGCAAATTCAGGAGGATTATTCTGAGCCCAGCTCTTGCAGAATGGTGGGCACAAGGGCAGGCGAACCCAGAGATTCAGGCTGATGGCAAGAGAGGGCTTGAAGTGAGGCACTTTGAATGCAGACTGGAGATAGAAGGAAATAATGTTTCGAGGGATCTGACGTTAGGGGAGAAAAGGGAAGAGAAGATTAAGAGGTACAGGTGCAGTGTTCATTCCACACTATTGTACTGTTTTTCTCAACAGCGTGTGGTTTCCTGTTCTACAATTATTTCATGTAAGCCTGCTTGTTTTTTCTTTCCCCAGTGAAAACTAGGAATCAATTCCCTCAATTAATTTACAGAGTATTGACCAGATAAGCCAAGTAATTTCGAATAAGTATGCGGTACTTGTAGCGTACTTGAAAGAATTACTTCAGTTAACATTCAATCTTACCTGTCAATGGTGAAATATAATTATAGTGTTCACACAATTCGGCAACAACTTTTTACAAAAAAAAAAGACTCAATATGTATGAAACTTGTTAAGAGGGAAGCCATTTTTAGCAAAGCATGATGCTCATTCATTCTTTGCAGTGATGGAAAAGCTTATAAAATTTCACTTCCAGAAACTACACAACACAGGGACTATACTGTGGTCTACATGTTGAAAGTTATTTCAATTTTATGGAATTCTTCCAAAAGAAATTGAATTTCACTGTTTTATAAAGGCAAAATGAATCTATCTCAAGTTTTTCAGAGTGTCAGTAACAGAGACTCACTCAGGATATCTTAAATCAAATATATGATTATTATAATAGTACATGTGGAAATAGGGAAGATTCAGATGCTGGCCACACACTGGGCATCATGGAAACAGAATGAGTTGTACAGTTTAATTTTGTGGAAACTGACTTATGGGTCAGGAACTGAAAGGTGATTCAGAGTCCAGCACAGCACTTGTGACCGGGCTATGTCATTGCTCCACACCAGTAGAGGGTCATTAATTCCTGATTTTCAACTGCTGCCAAACACCTCACACTCTATATTTTTCTGCTTCTTACTCACAGCTTCTATTGCCTCATGGGCTCTGCTCACATGGCTCATTGCCTGCTTTTCTTCTGTGTATCTACTGCTTCCTCTTTATTCCAATTTTCTTTCTTCTCCCTTGGTCTACCCATATCAGTCTGGATATTTTCCTGGCTAACTTGTCTTACTCAGATTTCCCTAAGAGATTGGTCTGATTGGTTCTGAGATCGCTATTGTCCATATTAGTCAGAACTTGCACCCAGGGCTACTTCCTAGAATCTAGCTCATCTAGAAGTTGGATGTTATGTTATCAATCTCCCTTCCATGAACAGAGACACACACACACACACACACACACACACACACACACACAGGGCTGGGTCAGCAAGGTGGCAAAATTTATGTGTATCAACGTAGTGATTTTTATGAAAAAGACTCCTTGGAAGGGAGGCTGTAGTAAAACCCCTTAGAAGGGAACTATGGATGTAGCAGGCACTTTTAGGGTTGAACTAACAGTAGATCATAAAATTACAAATGAACATGCAGTTGTGTCCAAAGTCGTATAAACCTAGCCTAAGGTGATTGGCTTAACTCAAGTGGAAGATAGAATAAGAAGTTGAGGGACTTCAGGTGAGAATAGTAGGAAGCAGCCTTATTTTAAAAAGTGCCTTAACATCTAGACATAGAAGTTCAGTTTCATTACGCAGTAAATTAAGTGGCATTAAAAGGTTTTGAGCAGTAAGTTGATGAAGGCAGAATTTAAGAAAGGCCAACCTGGCAGTAGTACAAAGGATGGAGAGGAGGATGAGAACTTGATGAGGAGGAAGTCATTCGTAATTATTAAAAAATTATAGTAATATAATACTACTTACTCAACAAATATTTCTTAAGTGCGCTCTACATGCCAGCACATACCTCAGGCTGAAAATGCAAAGGTTAAAAATGTGACATGGTCCCTGCCATCATGGGGATGACATTCTGGTGGAAGATGCAGAAAAGCAAAATGGCATCACAATCTGAACAGCAAAGGCTGTCACAGGAGAAGTGTGGAGTGCTGGGGCAGCACACAGGAGGGGTACCACACCCTGACCAGAAGTTCGAGGAAGGCTTCGTAAAAGGGCATATTATAAATTTGAGACTTGTGGGCTAAATAAAAATTATCCAAGTGGAGAATGAGATTGAGGGGAAAAGGGCAGGGAGCTCAGCTCCGGGACAAAGAACGGCTGCTAAACAAAAAAGAACAACACTCAACAGTTCTGCCTGATTAACCGGTATGACTGAGCAGAAAGTTTCTGGTTTTGTTTTAAACATCAAATGTCCAGCGCTGTGCTGGGAGCTGGAGAGATAACGCTGAATGGGATAGACGTGTCCTCTCCCTGGCAGAGAATTACAACCCGGGGCGGGGGTGGGGGGGCGTGTGGGGGGGGAGACAGAGGGGCAACTATAATAGTGTGGGAAAGATTCTGAATGAGAGAACGCCCTGGGATGGTGGCCCATTGGAGGACAAGTTAACACAGGCTTGTGTGTCATAGAGGTAAAACTTTTGTGGCATTCTCATAGACAATTAAAGCTTAGCTAGATAAAGAAATGAGAGAAGATTCTCGCTCCAGGCAGAAAGAAGACCATGTGTATGTGACTAGAGGCAAAAGAGGGTACAGAGCTATGGAGAAGTTGTATGGCAGGAGAAAAAGTCATCCTCATGCTTCCCCCAAAGGGAAAACCACATTTATGCCTTATTTAATTGACTACTTGAGAATGAAGAGTTTTATTTTGTTATAAAGATGAGCCTTTCCTCTTTTAAGTACCATCTTGGTAGGTTAACTTCACTCATGGAACTTGTTTTCTGTGGAAATTTTTATAAACTTATAAAATGTGCATAGTAAGGCATGTTGCAAATGTTTCCAAATTGTCCTTGAAATCTCTTTTTTTCTTTAAGTTCTTTAAGTTTCTTTAGGGCTGCTAAGCATAAGAATAACTTTCACTTGATTATCTCAATCCTATATAAGAAACTTAATTTTCACCTTCTACTATTGTCACTCTAAAAATTGTCTTTCAAACTTGCTACTTTAAAAGTGACAATTTCCTTGTTTAAAAAAATCAGCAAGGAGATTTTTAAAATAATATTTCCAAGAAGTTTAAAACCTTAGTATGATAAAATTGGTTGAATTGTTTTGATCAATATGAATTTACATAATATCTGGTAACTTCCAGGCAAGATTCCTTCCTGTTTATTAGTTATTCTTAAGAGTCATCTGAAAGAAAGGTTATGATTGTTGTTCCCCAATGATTGAATAACCTGATGGGACGTAATAAAGTTAGTGATTTTTTCCATCTTATAAGAGAGTCTGCACTAAATTTGGGCCTGGAATAAAGAATCTCTGACTTTCCAGTTGTTTAACATTGAGTCAACAACTAAGAGGGGTAAGATTTTATTTAGGTGTCATTTTTAAACTGAAGTCTATAGTCAGATATATGAAGTTTTTTTTTTTTTAAGATAAATTAGGTTTAATTATCTTACATGCAAGCTTGTAAAGACATCAAAATTTACCAGCCCACATTTTTTTAAAATAGACTTTCCAAGTAGCAAATTCCCCAGCACAGGCTGTTCCCTCTTCTCTAGCCAAAAGCCACATCGAGACTGGCTCTCCCTGGAGGTCCAGGCAGGACTGAGGCAGGTCTCAGGGCTCTGTTTCAGGAAGCATGATCTCTGGGGGTCTTGTTCCCACACCAGAAACCTGTCACTAAAACACATCTTCCTACCCCACTCACGCATGTAAGTTCAGATCAGGCTTGTGACCCAATCCTCACTTTGGTCCATTTCTGAGAGCAAGATTAGAGGGGACCCATTCAAACTAATAATAGAGAAGAACTGGTTCCTCCTCTTAAAAAAAATAAAAAGGACAAACTTTTGGATTGGCACCAGAATCCAAATAGGCAGGAATAGAAGGCCTGAATTAGATGCTTAGCATCCTTCCCATGTTGGATCAAGAATTCAAGGCTAAGTTGATCTCCAAGGCTGGCGGTTGTAACAAGTATGCTGAGTAATTCACCACCCACCAATAACACTTGGTGAGAAATTATTTTTCTCTTCCTCCTTCTTCTCCATACCCCTTGTAAAGGCTGCTGATTACTACAACAGAACATGGACACACAGTTGTAAACTTATCATGCCTCATGGAAGAGAGCTGGAGGCCTGTGCCTTCTCCGCAGTGGGTCCATCACTCTGCTTGATGAAGCGTAGCACACATTTTTAAGGCCACATGAATCTCCTTCTCTCTCCCTGTATAGAGATAATCTGGGACAGCATGGAATATAACTATGTTGTTGTCAAGGCTATGTTATCAGAGGCAGCAGTACTCATCCACAGGGTTAGCTGGGGATGTATATTCTTTGACGCAAGCAGGCAAGGAGTGGGACAGGGCTAGATACACACACCTATTCTTGTGTATCGGCCTATTCCTAATGCGTAGGCCTATGTATGTTCTTCTCCTCCAGCTTTTTATTTTGAAAAGTTTCAAACTTAAAGAAGAAAGGCAAGAATAACACAATAACACTCACATACCCTTCTCCTAGATTCACCAATTGTTAATGTTTTGTCACATTTGCTTCATCTCTCTTTCTCTCTCTGCAATAAACATACACACATTATTCAGCCAATCATTAATTCATTTATTTGCCAAAGGATTTGAGAACAAATTACAGGCATGATAACACTTCACCCCTAAGTACTTGAATGTGTATCTGTTAAAAAAAAGGACACAGGCTGGCCTGATGGTGTAGTAGTTAAGTTTGCACACTCCACTTCAACAGCCCAGGGTTCGTGGGTTCGGATCCTGGGCACAGAGCTACACACAGCTTATCAAGCCATGCTGTGGTGGAGTCCCACATACAAAATAGAGGAAGATTGGCACATATGTTAGCTCAGGGCCAATCTTCCTCAAGCAAGAAGAGGAAGATTGGCAACAGATGTTAGCTCAGGGTCAAGCTTCCTCACCAAAAAAAAAAGGACAAATCCCATATAAACACAATACAATGATCACAGTCACAGTAATGAAATTTAATATTTACATAATAGTATTATCTAATGCATGGTTCATATTCTAATTTCACCAACTGCCCCAAATAAGGAACTTTAAAGTTTTTTTTTCCTTTTTAAAATCTGAGATCCAATTAAGAGCATGTATTGCATTTCATTGTCATGTCTCTTTAGCCTCCTTTTTATCTAGAACAATGCCCAAGTATTTCAAATTTTTTCTCTTTATATGACATTGACATTTTTTGAAGAATCCAAACCAGTTGTTTTGCAATTGCTCTTCAATTTCGATTTGTCTGATTGTTTCCTTGTGATTATTTTCAGGGCACACATTTCTTCTTAGGCATCTGACATAGACAACATTGTGTTCTTATCAGAGCATCAATTGGGGACCTCATACTCTAGAAGTTACTTGATTCTTTTTTATTTTCTTCTGTGCAGTTATGTTATTTATTTGATATACAGTTAGATTCATTTGTTTCTGTTTGTATGAAATCTTGGATCCCCCATCCTTTATTATTTGTTTATTATTTAATATATAAAATATTAACATGGCTCAAAAGTCAAAACTATATAAGATGGCTTACTCAGTGAAATTCTATCCCATTCTCTATAGCTTCCACTCTGTTCCCGCAGATTCTCTATATGTGACAGATTTCTTCCCACACATAACAGATTTCATTAGTTTGATTATTCTTCATGCACAGACACACACACACACACACACACCCTCATATGTGTACATCACATACACTATCTTGTACTTTGCTTTTTTCAGCTAGCAATATGTTCTGAAAATCACTCCATATAAGTTAATACAGGTCTTCTTCAATGTTTTAACCACAACATAATACTCCATTATGTGGCTGTATCAGCATTTATCCAACCCATCTACAGCATGTGGGCATTTTTAATGCTTAGCCACTACAAACAGGCAATGAGTAACCTTGTGCACATTTTTTTCTGTATTGTTGTAGGTATAACTTTAGGCGAAAATTCTGGATGTTGGATTGCTGGTTTGAAGAACAAATGTCTGTGACGCTTTCTTCCCCTCCTGAGCAGTTGTGACATTCTGCATTCCCACCAGTGACGAGTGAGAGGGCCACTGCCTCTGTGTTGTCAAGTTTCTAAAATTTTGCCAACTTGGTAGGTGAAAAATGGTATCTCAATTTAAATTGCCTTTATCTTATTATGAGTGAAGTTGAGCATTTTTCCTGTGTTTAAGAGCTGTTTGTATAGGTCTTTTGTGTCTGCTCACGTCATATGCCTATTTTTCTAATATATAAACATGTTTTTATGTAAATATATGTTAATATATCCTAACATATATAAATATATATTCTAAAATGTATATCTATATATTTGCTCTTTTTCTTCTCCACCTTTTAGAATTCTATTCCATATTAGGGATAATAGCTCTTTACCTGTACTATATATTGCAACTCTTTTCTCCAAATTTGCATTTGTCCTGGATTTTGCTTATGGTGTTTTTCTGCTGTGAAAAAGAATTTCCTTGTTTTTTAAATGTAGTCCAAATTGTCAATTGTTTCTTTTATTGCATCTAGATTTTGAGTCATAGTTAGAAAGTTTTCCTTGTACTCCGGGCAGAGGAATTTACCTGTTTTCTTCTAGTCCTTTTACAGTTTTATTTTATTTTAATATTTAGATCGCTGATCTATTTGCAGTTTATTCCTGTGTATGTGAGGTTTGGTATCTTTTTCCAACAGGCTGTCTTGTTGTTCCAAATCATTTACTAAAATGTCTATTTATTCTCTAATGTTTTGAGATGCCACCTTCAACATATACTCAATTTCCATAAGCCATCTCCTTCTGGATTTTCTGTTCTGTTCTATAGTTCTAACTAAGCATTCATGTGCCAGTATCATACTGTTTTCGTTCTAGAGACTTCTGTTTAAATTTTGAATGGAGTAGCTTCTCCTTCATTTCTCCTGTTTTTCTCATCTCATCTCATCTCAAATTCTTCTTCATTAAGCCTCTCCTGAAAGGGTTCCATAGCAAGTTTGAAATCAACTTAGTTCCAGGGGGAAAACAAAGGTTACTAGTTATATTGGGGTTGCATTGCATTTATAAATTAATCTATGAAGAACTCATATCTTTATGATCTTTATTCATCTTATTCAAGAGCAAGGAATATCTCTCTATGTGTTCAAGTATACTGTCACGTCACTGAACAGGACTCACATATATCTTGTTAAGTTTATTCCTGTATATTTTATCTTTTATGTCTATGTGGGAGTTTTTATCATCCCCCTTCCAAATTTTAACACTGATCTCTGTGAGGGACACTACATAATATGACATTGAAAAAATTCTTTCAGGAAACATAACTGATAATACATCCAGGGGATTTTTAGGTGACAGAGCTATTAATAATGCTGAATATTCTTGCTTTGTGACAATAATAAATATTAATAGGCATTTAAAATGCAACCTCATCTTTCCCACTTGCATCAACATAAATGCTCTGAGCAATAAAAGATACCCTTAGCATCTCTTACAACGAGAGAACCCCAAACATTAGAATACTATCAAAATGAGCATATAATTAAAAGGAAACAGATAAAAGGATCGGGAAAGAAAATCACTGTAAAGATGCATACAGAATTCAGACACAGCAATTTGCGGTCTGGTGAGTGTGCATCTTAGACAAATGTTCAGTTGGCTCCTGTGACTCTCTACTAATCTAGAGTTTTTGAAATCTCTCTGATAATCTTTTCTACCTTTGATAATCACCTCTGTCAGTTTTTGCAAAGATCTTCCCTATTTAAAGCTTCTCCTTCGGAAGGTTCACCCACTCTCATAACTTCATTTCCTATCCAGATAAAATAAAACCCCTATTATTAGACTTTACCCAAGCAATAATTTCTTCCTCTGAACTCTGACTGTGTGGCTGGTATCAGTGGCACTTACTAATTTCCACTGACTTGCTCCACAGTTGTATTAAACTTAGCTAAAATCAAATTTACTAACTTTTCTGAAACCCCAATTTTTGTCTTTGGCAATATCATTCTCCCAGGGTTTTTCGTTTGTTTGTTTGTTTTTTGCTGAGGAAGATTTACCCTGAGCTAACATCCATTGCCAATCTTCTGAAGGAGAGTATGCAAACTCAACCACTAGGCCACGAGGCTGGCCCCTCTCCCAGTTTTTGATTCCAGTGTTTCTCAGTCATTTACGGTCAATCGGTCAACAAATTCTGTGATTCTCCTCTCATATTATTTCTTGCTCCTGTTATTTCACCTTCATTCTTAGGTTCATTAACACAGTCTGATCCAGCCTTGCTCAAAGGGCCATCTATAGAACCCGTAGTCCCTTGCAGTCCACTAACTATTCTGCAGAATGTTCTGAATTTTCAGAGGAAAAAGCAAGAAATTAATTTTTCATATACATTTAGTAAATGTTAAATGTAAAATTAATTCTAATTTTTAAAAAATACATTAGGTTCTTGAGTCATCTTTGTCCTCTTGCATGTACTGAAGGCCGTGTCCTTTTGCTTTGGCTAACGTTCAGGTAGTGGGCTGCATTTTAGTTGATATTTTTCATACCATTAGTTTATCATTTTTTACATTTGTTAAACTGTATTTTCTTTTTTTTTTTTGACAAAGATTAGCCCTGAGCTAACTACTGCCAGTCCTCCTCTTTTTTGCTGAGGAAGACTGGCCCTGAGCTAACATCCATGCCCATCTTCCTCTACTTTATATGTGGGACGCCTACCACAGCATGGCTTGCAAAGACATGCCATGTCTACACCCGGGATCCGAACTGGCGAACCTCGGGCCACCGAAGCAGGACATGTGAACTTAACTGCTGCGCCACGGGGCCCGCCCCTGTTAAACTGTATTTTTAAAAGTATTATACTGACCGGGGCCCTGTCATCTCTTGCCTGGAGCTCTGCAGTATCGTGCTCATTGTCTTTCCTGCTTTCGATCTCTCATTTCAACACTCTCTCCTACATGAGGCACCAACTCCGTTTCTTAGAAATATTACATGCTCCGCAGTGTTTTCTACACTAGGCCTTACCATAAAAGTCTTCAACGATTTGGGGGCACCTGCTTAATCATTCACCTATTTCTTTTGCCCAAGATGTATCATCTCCCTACTGTCCTTTCCAACACTGTATGTGACACATTCTTAATGTTTTTATTCATTGTGTTCTTAGCCTTACTGTTATTGCACTTAAACATACACTCAACTGAATCTTATTTTTCCTTCAAGGCTCTATTCGAATTCTCCTTCGTTAAGCCTTTCCTAGCTACTCGGGCAGTATTGTCTTCTCCTAACAGCCTGTAGTAGTGGTTCGTAATCAGAGAAACACATCAGAATCCTCTATTTTACACTTAAATTTCAAGAAGTACAAATGCCTGGGCCCTCTGCCTGGAGACTGGAGGTCTGAAGTATATAATCTGGGAAGCTTGTGTTTTAAAGCTCCACCAGTGATCAGAGCTAACTACATAATTTGCAGGATCCCATGCAAAACAAAAATACAGGGCCTCTTGTTCAAAAACCAGGGAGGAAAATGCCATTAAAAGTACTAAAATACGGGGCTGACCCTGTGGCTATGGTTAAGTTTGCAAGTTCCACTGCAGTGGCCTGTCATTCGCTGGTTCGGATCCGGGGTGCAGACCTAGCACCTCTTATTGAGCCATGCTGTGGCAGGCATCCCACATATAAAATAGAGGAAGATGGGCACAGATGTTAGCTCCAGGCCAATCTTCCTCAGCAAAGAAGAGGAAGATTGGTGGCAGATGTTAGCTCAGGACTAATCTTCCTCAAGAAAAAAAAAGTACTAAAATATAAAGCCTATCCATTTTTTCCACAATCTATTATGATATTTTTTTACTTGCTATTTATGTTGTTATTGAAAAAGCATAAAATTTTAAGTTGCAGGATGAATTTTATTGTTCTTCTTTATATTGTACAATGCCAGTTTAGAAGGCAAGTATGAAAGTATCTAACACAAATGCAGAATCGTTAAAATTACACAGCTCACCCTCCAAAGATCATACATGCATATATATTTTTTCTTATCAGCACAGTGGGAAACTTCACAAGTTAATTGGACTGCTTTTATTTCAGTTTTTGACAGATGCATGCATCCTACCAATGCTCTCTACTTTCCACTTACTGAGGAGTAAAGAAAGACTGAGGGAAGAGTATCTGAGAAGATTTATCATCTTTGTTTTCATATCATCATTTTTAGAATAAGTAGGTTAGTGAATATGGGGAAGTAACACAAGTGAGAAAGGAAATTTGATGATTCCTTCGTCACCATTGCCTTCTTTCTGCAAGTTTTGGGTTGAACAGAAAGTGTGGTCTCTTGGGGCTGTCAGCCCCCCACCCCTCCCTCCCAACCCACTGCTGCTAACACACACACACACACACACACACACACACGGCCATATTGTAAGGGCAAATGGAAATTAAAAATAAGATGCTTCATTTTCCCTGTTGAAAATAAGGGAAGAGACTTCTCCTGTCTCTTAGAGCATTTACTGTAGAAAACTTGTAATTGCAAGTTCTTTCTCTGTCTCTGAAACGCATGTAAACTTGTGAAACTGAACAAGTCTTTTGCCAGCTTTACAACCCAGGAGTGTCTTTCTCAAAGACCTGAGAACCAACCATTTGAAATGTAATTAACAGGGAAGATAGAGGCCTACCTCCTAGTTTCTGTGGGAAGGTAGGTGCCTAACTTTGTTTCCTTGCTCGCAAGCTACCTTTGTGGTAAAGATGTGAGAAGTTTATTTTTCCTTTGGATCAAACCAATTAGCTAACACAGGCGATCACCTTAATTTCCAGGTGAATTTAGGATGAACTCTGTGTGACAAATGGTGCAGTCAATCCTCTGACTTGAAGTCTAGTTATTGTTTAGATAGCAAATATGTAATGGGTTGTCTCTGCTTGGCTATAAAAGAAGAGTGAAATGTCTTTCCATCCTTGCAATCTCTTTAGCCGATTGCCTGTGATGGATATTATGTTCTGGTTGAGTGCTTATTCAATAATAAAAGAGTTTTTTCCCTCTTCTGCCTTTGTGGGGAGGTTTTCTGGATTGGGAAGAGATTTTGTTCAAATATATCTCCCCAATAGTATTCATAGCCTCACTGAACCCCAATGAACTCCACAGAGTTCTG